CCAACCGTATGAAACCCACTGATTGGCCATATCGCAGCCCAGAATCTTTGAAGAGATCTCGCCGATCCATGGCGACTCCTCCGGCAGCCACCTGCAACCGCGTCTTCACCTCATGCACCGTGACGTGTGTGGAGCGTGCGCAATAGGGTCCGGGTGCGGCCGGCCGCAACCGAGGGCGTCACCGGTGCCTCACCGATCAACCAAGGGACACGGACCCCGACGTGACCGACGTGGGCATGCCCACCGTTTCAGTGGCGTCGGAAGGGTTTGAGGTTCCAGATGGTTCCTGGCAAAGTCACCAGGAAACTCGTCGAAACCTCCCACTATTGGGACCGGCAATCCTGTACAACGCACAGAGGGTTCATATCCAAACCTTACATATCCAAACCCTATCATGTCAATCTCAGAGGACATGTGGGTCTCTCACACCCAACCACCCGAGGACACGCGCAACCTCTGTGGCACGTGGCCGTGTCAAAGGGGTGAAGAATCGCCTGCTTCGCCACATTTTGGGCGATGCCCTGCACCGCGCCACCTGCAGCACTGTCGAAACACTCCGGAGGGTCTCAGAGCTCATGAGTCACTGCTGATAGAATTCGACAAGCCAGCGCGGTTGAAGGAAATGCCCCCACTCGAGGTTGAGATACTATTTGGTAGGCCAACCGGGTGTTTGTAGCCCTGTTGATGTGTTTTCACGAAAGGGTACATTGCCAGTTCATTGACGACAACGGAGCACTGTTCGATCACCTGAGATCATGGCTGAATGCTGCTGCCCACGGCGGAAGAGTTTCTGCAGCTCCTGGCGCGGAAAATCTAAAAAAGATATTGATCATTGAATGAATTATATCCGGGACATCGGCGTGAGCACACTTCCTGTCACGGTTTTGACCATACAGTATTTGTGTGCATACCTCATGGCCTGATTTGAAGAAAACCATTTGTTCAGGTAAACAACAGTGTATGTGTATGTGCGTATCTAATGTATCTATATATATATACACACACACTTGTTTACTGGCTGCCAACGTCGACCGGCCCAAAAGCAAGGAATCAGGCAATTCTTGCAGTGATGCTTATGCGGGGATGACTTGCGATTGAAAGCAGGAAGGCACGGACATGCTGCACCTGGGTTGTGAATGTGTTGCAGGAAGTGCATGATGACCCCCTTGAGAAAAAAATAGAGTGAACGTCTTCGGATCATATACGCAAAATACCCTAGCCCCACCTTAGCTTGCTCGGCATAGAATTTGTTGCATGGGTGGTTCTTGCTCTGGACTGAAATTTGGAGGAACAATACTTTGGCACTGACGGTTACAATATGTTACCATGATTCATATTGAGTCGTGCGCTGACTTCCATCCCCGTGATTATTTGCAATCACACAAAAAATATATAAAAGGTCATTCGTAGATATTCGTAGAGTAGAGATCAATATATGCCCGTGAGTCAAACCCGTCCTTCAAAATGCGCACCGAGTGACTGTAAGAGATCAGTGGCATGGCGTGCTCGTCCGCATACATAATACATGAAATGCAAACATCGAATGAAAAATCAAGTATCACTCATCGCTGGGATCGATGTTCAAAGGTTCAAACAAAGAAAACAAACAAAAACAGGACTTTGGAGACCTTTTGGGGGGGTCCCCAACCATGTCTTCACAGCGTTTTGTATTTCCTTTCAAAGAAGCGGCCATCGGGACTGCCATGACAGTTCGCGGGATGGAGGATGGAGAATGAGAAGAACTGCCACGCGGGCGGGAGTTTGTAGATGGCACAACTTGCAACAAAGGTCAATGGCACTGTTCTGCGCTCGAGCTTCACCTAGAGACCACAACTCGCGCCTGGGGCGGCTGCTTTGGCCGCAAGGCATGGTGGCGCTGTGGCAGAGGTCAGGACGGCCGAGAGCAAGAAGCCTCAGACAGGTCTGGAGTCTGGGGATCCCGAAAATTCCGAAAGTAAAAGGCATCAGCTTGTTTGAGAATGATCGCCGCACTGCACCCAAATGATACTTGTGTGTCTTGCAATGTGTTAGGGTCATTGGACGGATGCTGTTGCAAAAAGATCCAAAATCACATTCACAACATAACCATCTTGCCATTCATAATATAGTGAGCCAGAGTGATCCAGAAACCAGAGTGAACATATTGCAAGTGCAAAGGATTCAGCTCGTGGACCCACCGAAGCTATCCCCTGCGTTCGTCTGCATCCAATGCGGATCAGGACAAAAGAGCACTGCCCAAATGTAACAACCAAGTGAGCCTACCCAAAACAATTCTAACGCTTTTCCAGTTGATAGTTGAGTGTACACAATGGCATGAGTTTCCAGTTGTTCTTGCATGGTCTCTTCTTGGTCGGCTGCCTATTTCAAATGAAGACAAACGTGTAGGTGAGGTACGATGATCCAAGTCCTTTCTCAACATTCTGGTGCGGCAACGAAAACGAACCGAAACTGAACTACCCCGAGGTGTTGATCTAGTCGTCTTGTGATGCTCTTGTTGCCAAGACTCCATGTTAGGGCTAGAGACCTTTTAAAGTCATATGAGCCGCATGACTCACATGGGCAAAATGAAACGAAGGGACACAATTTGCTGGTCAAGAGTTCTCAATGGACTTATATAATTAAACATAAATCAACAAATGACCGAAGTAATGCTTTGATATGCATTGAAATGTTTTTCTAGTATTTCTGGGACACCATTTTCACTTTAATAGCAGTGTCAAACGCTGGATGTACTGTCCCACGCTGGGGAATTTTCTGAATATCACTCTCAAGAAGGTAAGCCGTTCGTAGAAACGTTCATTTGAGCAGCTCCTTGGTTCGTCCGAGCACCCCGGCGCCGTCGGTCCAAAGGGACCTGGCCGAAAATAATGGCATGCAGTTGAATGAAATGCTACGAGAATCAGAAGGGGAAGATGCAATAAAAACTATCAATTTGGGCACCGGATATGTAACACATTGCAAAAACCATCAAAAACCTACCCTGCCGCGATTCCAAAACTTGAGTTCAAATATGTTCGAATGGCAGTTGGTGGAGGCCTTCGGACTGTGATCTTAGTGGACCTATTGCTCATCTTACATGATTGGTTCTCATCTCCCAAGCGACTGTCAATCGGAGCAGGAGACTTGGATGATCCCACCGATTGGTTCAGACTCTATTTTAAAAAAATGAGTGAACATCGACGTCAAGATTCAGTGTTCCAACATGACAAGTTGCCAACACGGTCCGAACTTGTGCAACCTCAGGACCCCAAGAGATCATCGACAAGTCCCAGCGAGTGGGGAGCCTCCCAGCTACATGGCCCAACCAGTCTCGCGGAGTGGGGGCCCTGCATGGCGTCTTGGTACCAGAATTGTTCTTGAGCCCCGGGTCATTGTTCTTGAGCTATCCAAAAGACCTTTCCATCCCTTCTGTATATGTGAATTGAATGTGTCTGTATATGCTTCTGCCTGTTAGCTGCCTTTGGTCAACAGACTGACCCTCGGCAGTTTTCCAAGGTTTAAAGCCTGCAAATCAGCGAAACAACAGTGAAACATATTGGCGCCTTGGACAAGAAGCTCCTCACATCTCCTCGGAAAAGGAAAAGAAGAATTGCCAGCCTGGGCAGTGAGGAAGAATTGGCATCCTTTCCTTCCCATTGGGAACCACACTCCACACCGGCCCAACCAGAACGCAACTTGTCCAAAGTTCCAAGACACAATGGCCTACAAAACCCACAAAAAAATCAAGGCATCACCCAACTGTTCAAAAAGTGCAAAGTCGACAGGTGAAGGTGAAGGAAAAGATCTGTGGACGTTTCTCGTGTTTTATCAGGTCAGTCTACAGGAAACGATTCCACCATCAAGACTATGGGTAGGTCGGAGGTGCGCCTGTCTTGCAGGTTGCCCCGTGGCCGATGGCCAGCTACGTACCGCTGCAAATAAAGACACTGCTCTTAAGTCTTACGGTAAAAGTTGTTAAAACATATATATATATATTATATAAACAATTACAGTATCAACATTTGCCCTTTTGCAGCCCAAGAAGTTTTGGCTCAAGCGTTCTGGGTGTTTTTTGAAGCTTTCGTGTCTCTGGCAAATACGAACAGCATTTTGACCAATTTTGACCCTATGATGGGCCACCCCAACACCCCAACTCCACCACCTGGGAGCCGGACCCCAACAGCGAGCAGGTCCCATGTCTACCTTCCAATTCCGAGCAACGCCGAACACGTGGCTGGCAGTGGATGGCCCTTCCGAAATGGACATGGTTTATCGTGAAGAGACGGGCCCAACCAATGGACCCGAGTCGAATCATGTCAATGCCTTGTTGTTTTGCAAAGGTCTGGCTGAGAGATCTCCAATGACAACTCCAACATGGACAACTATGGACCCTCAAATTGTATTTGACAAACCATGCTGTCTTTCTGCGGCTCACTCGCCACCATGATTGCACCTCACTTCTACGGGGCTCAGTAGCCACCTGCCATCATTCATCAATAGTCAATAGTCATCCTATGTCATCCTAATCGTCGCTCACAGCCGACGCGCGAACCGACAGCTGTGAGCCCAAGAGTTCCAAGGCACCGCGCTTTCTTTTGCACCGAGCTCACACTGTACAGCGACAGCGAGCCCGCACAAATTGAAACGATGGAATCGCGAGTGAATCTGCACGTGTCACTCTGAATCGCAATCTCAGAAACCTATGGAATCGTAGTCTATAACTCTCCAAGACTCGTGACTCGGGGGCCGCAAACGTGCCAATCTCCGAGTTGTTCCAGTATTTACCAGCTCAAACAAACTCTCCCACCATGACCTCCTGTGGGCTTGGCTTTAGGTTCAGTATGCGCAAACGATCACATGGACTCCCATGCCACTCGTTCATCCCTTGCGGCCCTCTTCCAACCTTGTTGAGCTCATTTGAGGGGGGGTTGTTTGTGAGTCTCTTACAACGCAGTCTGCTTCAGACCAACGAACACGCGTTCGTCGGAGCAGACTGCGTCGCGGCGTGCCATCTAGGCAATCTAGGCCTTGTAGCCTCCTTTGAGGCTCGCGTCAATGCCCGTAAGCTCCGGGACCACCACCTTTCCAATGAAAAGCAGGGAGCCATCTGCGTCGCCTCTAAAAGGGCCCGGAGCGGGTTTGTTGTTCCAAAGAAGCCAAAGAAGTGGATCAAGAAGTCAAGGACTGGGGAGTGGGGAGCGTGTCGCCGGTTTGATGTGTTGCTTGAAAGCAGCCGTGAAGTGCATGAAGTGCCTAAAGCAAAACTTTTAAACACCTACTCTTGCAAAAGTTGCTGTCAAAGCTTCTGATCCCGAAGAGGAAGGGTCTGTCCACCGTCACCTGAAAGGAAGAGTTCCGTCCGATCAGTTCTGCGGGCTGCACGTGACGGTGTGTTGGGCGATGTTGGGCAGAATAGGATAGAATAGCTGCGTGTTCACACGGTTTGCATCATATGCCCAACCAAGGTGTAGGAGGAGTTGGTCTTACACATTCTCTTTGACTAGAAGGTGATAAAGGTACCTGGCAGAACAATGATCACTCTATGCAGGCAATGCCAATTCAACCTATTGAACGCCAATCAACACTCGCAACCTCAGCTGTGCCTCAGTACATCCCAGAACACATTAGAACAAACTCAAATTTAAATAACATGGCTATGTAATATATGCTAATAATATGCTTATATCACAACGGAGTATCATAGAATCTTCTATAAATGATCATAGATTCAGGGTCTCATCTCTCACGACCATTTGGATCACCGGTGCCAAACGATACCATCTTCGCCCCAAAAGGGCCACGTCCGGACACCTTCATTGCCGGTGGCGGCAGGCAGCGCGTGGCCATCACAGCACCGGTGGCAGCGGCCGCCACGGTGCCCTCCTCGTTGACCAAAACGGTGGCCTTGTGCACCACATCATTCCTGGCGTCCGTTTCGCCTTCCGAGGCAAAGCCAGACCCATGTCATCAACATTCAAACAACATGTAATTCATGTAGACTCTTGATTAATAAGCCCCCCATATGAAGAGGATGTCCAATTCAAACGAGGGCACATGGGGCACTAATTTGTGTTACCTTGTTTGGGAATTCTGCACAAAGTTGGTTTGGCCCGAACCGTTATCCCCAGCGAACCCGGGCGACCCTGGCATTTCATGGACCGAGTTGAGCATTTCCTTCATGTTGTGGGCTAATAGATTCCTGCCGGTCCGCCTCAAAGAGGGGAAAAAGCCAATCACATTGCCATATTCAGACCCTAAGATTAGGATCTCTTGCCCCTCAAGGCAAGATCGCTCCGGGTACTTGCTGAAAACTTCAGACCACCTCCACCAACACCCGTCCTAACATAGGACAAGGGTATGTGTGAATGCGTACAAGCCCGCAAGTGAGTGCATTCAATCGAGGGGGGGGTTATTAAATCAAGAGTCTACAATACTGAGTATTGCTAATTGCTGAGTACTTGACTTGTGTTTCTGTGCCTTTGGTATTTGGTTTCACAGCCTCGCCGTTGTTCGAAGCGTCCACTCAATGGAACCAAATCAATCCGGATCAAAAGAGTTTGGCCGCAAAAAACGCCCTTCAAGTCGTGTGATCCACCGTCTCCACGGTGCATGGCGCAAATCGTCAAATCGAAAAAAGAGTCGAAGTCGATTGAAGCAGGCCAGGGCGTCAAGTAAACCAATGGATCCTGGGCGCTCCCGGTGGTGCGGAACCAAACTGATCCGAATGCGGATCAATGGACCGGATTAAGTGGTGCGGGGAACCTCCAGGTGCTATCAACCACCCATGTGGTCAGACTGCAGCGGCTGTGAATTTGTGGGGAATGTGTCTTGTATTTCCTAGATTCTATCACACATATGCCATAACATCAACTCCACAAAAGAAGTTGGGTGGGGGATGGGGCTGGGGCCAACAGCAAACATTTCTCCAACGCAGTGAAGATTTCTAACAGCTAGAAAGAAGAACTGTGCTGAAATACAATTTTTAACATTTAAATGCTTGTTCATGTATTGTAATCGGAGCAGAATGCGTTGGATCCTGGATGGTTTATACAATAATACACACTTCATGCTTTTTGGTGGTCTTGGAGCACCGGCGAGTGCATTTTGGAAGTACCTCACAGTCTACCTCCTACCAAGCCCAAGCGCTTGTTGAAAGCAACAAGAAACACTATTACTTCAGCAATCAGCAAATGTATTCATCTCCGCCAAACAAGTTGCCCATGCAAAAGTGTCAGGGCTGACTTTCCGAGGGATTAACTGATTAACCATGAAAAAAAATGGCTTTCCAAAACTACCAGCAAGCAAAGCGCCAAGAGACATCAGACATTCTCAGGAATCCGTTCTTGCTCTCGAACGCTTCCTTGATACCTTAGTGATGTGTTGAAAAGAATTGATTGGAACTACACTCACTTCACCACAAATATTGTGATAATTTCTCAGAATCCGCCAGCAAAAGTCATGAACAAATGAAATCCGGATAAATCCGGTGGTAGTCTTTGACAACTCGCGGCCGCAGGTGATCCAAAGAAATTTGGAAGCCGGTGATCCAAACAGCTGAAGCAATCCGCTGAGACATCAAGTCTACTAGTAAGGAGATCATCAAAGCCAAAGCCATAGAGTGAGATGTTGTAAGGAGGATGTCTGCAGTGTAGGACAGTAGAGTCCCTCAAAACCCAAAATACATAACATAGTCATATCAAATCATATCAACGACGATCCAAGGACAAATGACAACTCCTTTCTTGGATTCCCTAACTAGGCGTTCAACTCGATCCTCGACCTGTTGCCATTTGATCCCTTCTTTCATAGACCAAGTTGCCCAGGGCCTTCAAGGCATCTGACATGGAGCCTCCAGCGCTGACCTAAGCACAGGGGGTTTGGTTGTGGATCATCCTGATACAGCCTGATGCTCAAATAGAACTTTCTCCAAGTGGGGAGACCTGCCAAAATCACTGCCACAAATTTTGAGAACCTCACCTTCTTGTAAGTTTCTCGGGGAATGTTTGCTGGTTTCTTGGCTGGTGATATAAATGATGTTGATTCCTTCCTGCCTCTGGAGGGTCTTTGTATTTGACCAACAGCACACCCAACAAAAAATATCAAAAAGTGCCATATGAGGAACATATCAATGAGTATAGAGTCCAATGGCACTCAATATGGCACTCTTTATTTGTCAATGAGTGCGGAACATAGAGGAACCGAATGCCAAATCAATGAGTTGTCAATCGTTCTTCTCCTCTCTGCAAGGATTCTGTGGGTGCTTTCCAGCTACCCCAGGGACGTGGGTGCAACGACTGTCTCGGTGTCCGAGCACGTCTACTCGGGTGTGTGACGGGCAGTGATGGGCACATGTTGTGAGGGTCTTCCCATCGAACCGAAAGAACCTCCAGCAGGGCTGGAAGATGCTGCAAGCAACCCGCTTTGGACCTCAAGACTCTTACTCGGCAAATCTACATGGATTATGTAATTCAACCTGAGGTGTGCACTTTAAAAAAAAGTGGGGGCCCGTTAGACCCCAACCGGATCTGGACTGCAAAGATCTAAAGCTTACACACCCTCCCATCGATATACCCAGGCCTTGAAGCGGGGTAGCCGGAGCTCCACCTCGCTCGGCTCCATGAAGCCCAAGAGCCTCGGCGGGCTTAAGCTTGCCGCGTTTGGAGCCTCGCCCGCGACGACCAGTGACGACTCTCGGAGACGACGAACGAAACGAACGAAACGGCGGAGGTTTAGTAGCTTATGGTTTCTACTAGCTTCTTGTTACTACTAGTAAGGCACCTGTTACTAGA